GGTCATCTGTAATCAGAAAGAGGCCTCCACCCCACCCCATCCAACCTCCTGTCAGGAGGGAAGTGGGCGCCGGTGGTTGTAGTCAGGAGCCATAGAGGTGAGGGGTGGGGCGGGGGACTCAGGGAGAGGCTGGGGCCCCCCTCCTCTTCCCGGAGGGATCTCCAGGAAGCCTGGGCAGAGCTGGGGTCCCAAGGCTGGCCCTTCTCCTGGAAAACAAGCACGGCTCATAGCTAAGGGAGGAGGCTGGACGTCAGGATCCACACAACGCTGGGAACAGTCCCTCCAGAGCAGCAGGACGAGGCCCCTCAGAAGTGACCTCACCTGCCTGGGCCTCAGCTTCCTGCTCTGCAACCTGGGGATGGGAATCGGCTTCTCAGGCCACCATGACTGGCTCAGCAGTTGCAGCCGTGGCTTGTGAAGACTGGGACGCCTCCCAGCCCCCGTGTCCCAGGGCCATCCTGCGGGGTCTCCACAAACACCCCAGAGGTGGCCCCTTCAACCTTGGTAAGAGGAGGGGAGCCCTGCTTTTAGGTGGCCGAGAACAGACCTGGGCTTTCCTGAGAGTCCCCCCCCGACCCTCACCTGGATTCAGTGCACGCCAGCCTTGCCCTCCTGACCTCCTCAGCCCAGGGCATGACCACCCGGCCCATCCTATCTTGCAAAGCATTCCCACGCTATTTTCATGGAACCTCTGACCCAAGCCAGGCACACATGATAGTTATATTTTCAGAATAAAGAACCAAAGTTCCCTCCAGAAAGTTCGTGCTGAGTCACGCTGTATTTGGGGATGCCCCTTTACACTGAGGCCAGCTCTGGAGTTTAAGAACTTTTTAATTTTCAGCTATTTGCCAAAATACAATATTGCATTTTTTAAAGTTTTTTTATTTCTTGAAAAGTGGAGATGAGCACCTTTCATTTCTTGTGGTTTTTCCTATTTATTTGATGACATCTGTTTACTCCTGTCCTTATAGTTTGCCCATTTACTACTGGGTTTTATTGCTTCTTACCAATCTGATTCCATTCTATCGAAATTGCCAATATTTTTCATTTGTCACATCTTTTACCTTTGTGTTTTCTCCCCCCATGCACGAAAGTCTCATTTTTATGAAATCAGATTTGGCAAGTTATTTCCCTTACAACTTCTGAGTTTCACACTGTCCTGTGAGAGCCGCATCAAATGGCTCTTGAGCAACCACCTTATTTTAGGGGATGCCCAGCACCCTCCTTGATGCAGATGCTGGGGTTGTGAATTCTCCCATTTCCTGGGGTTGTTTTCTGCTTCCCACTGAGCTATTTACTTAACCCACATTTTTCTGCCTTCAGGGCTGCCGTGAATTGCACCCAGAACACAACCCCTTTTCTTTACTTCCTCAAAACCTCTCTTATGAAGGTATCATGGTAAGAAAGCAGGAGACTTCACAGCCCAGGGACCAGGTGTCTGTTATACTCCTTTTTTTTTTTTTTTTTGCTTTTTTCAGATATAATGGACATGCAACATTGTGTAAGTTTAAGGTGTACAACATGCTGATTTGATACATCTATACATTGCAAAGTGATAACCACTGTAGAGTTAGCTGATGCCTCCAACACATCCCATAATTACCGTTTCCATGATTGTGGTGAGAACATTTAAGATTTAGTCTCTTAGCAACTTCCAAGGACATGATGCAGTATTACTAGCTATAATCACCCTGTTGCACAATAGATCCCTAGAACATACTCATCTTTTAACTGCAAGTTTGTACCGTTTGACCAACATCTCCCCATTTCCCCCACCCCACAGCCACTGGTAACCACTCTTCTGTTTCTACGAGTTTGGTGTTTTAAGATTCCACATAAAGTGGGCGCCTGGGTGGCTCAATTGGTTAAGCGACTGCCTTCGGCTCAGGTCATGATCCTGGAGTCCCGGGATCGAGTCCCGCATCGGGCTCCCTGCTTGGCAGGGAGTCTGCTTCTCCCTCTCCCACTCCCCCCTCTCGTGCTCTTTCTCTCTCTCACTCTCTCTCTCAAATAAATAAATAAAATCTTTAAAAAAAAAAGATTCCACATAAAGTGATATCATAGAGCATTTGTCTTTGTCTACCTTTCTTTAAAAAAAAAAAGATTTTATTTAAAAAAAAGATTTTATTTGAGAGAGTGCATGAGTAGGGGTTGAGGGAGAGGGAGAGAGAAAGAATCTCAAGGAGACTCCCTGCTGAGCAGGGAACCCCATGTGGGGCTCCATCTCAGGATCCCGAGATCATGACCTGAGTCAAAATCAAGAGTTGGATGCTTAACCAACTGAGCCACCCAGGCACCTCTGCCTGACTTAGCATAATGCCCTCAAGGTTCATCCAAGTTGTTGCAAAACGGTAGGATGTCCTTCTTTTTCATGGCGGAATAATATTCCATTGTATATCTGTAACACATCTTCTTTATCCATTTGTCTATTGATGGACACTTAGGTTGTTTCCATATCTTGGCTATTGTGTCACACTACTTCTTACACTGTATCTGGGTCACACGTACTCCAGGGAATTTGTCACAGGCAAAAATTTCTTCTAAAGTTCCCACCCCAAGCCTTTCACCCCAACCAATCACTGCCCAGATGCTAATTCTTTTCTAATTCTCATTTCTCTACTCCTCCATCCTCTGCCAACTCCAAAACTCCTTTCAGACCAAGGTCCCTCCTCTCCATCCTCAATTTATATCTCCTGAGTGCCTCCCCGCCCAATGTCACCTTCCTCTGGCATCTCTGTGGAAAATGGGGTTTGTCACCTTGTTGTCATCCCATGTCCACATCTAGTGTTGAAAGATTAAAATGCCAAGTGACTATTGTAGAAGTCCTCACAGTCACAGCACTACACTTTAATGAGTGCTTAAAAAAAAATTCTGCTGAATAATTCTAATTTATATCTCTGGGCACCTGAGCCTGGCACAGAACCTGCCAGAGGGCAAGTAGGATCCTCATCTCTTCCAAAATCCCTTTGCTAAGGGGGGCTCCGGGGGCAAGAGAGAATCCATTCTCTGCTATGACCACCTTGAGCTCCCCCTTTGTTTCAAGCCCTGCACTGGATCCAGGTATGAAGTGGCAAACAGAGCAGACAAGGTAAGACCTCAAGAATTCCAAGTCCTGTGGGGGCAACAGGCATGAACAAGCAAGCACTGACATCCATAAATCATGACAGCCTTTGAAGCCCAGTAGCAGATAAAGATGGCAGTGGGTGTGATTTATGGAGGATGTTTGAGAGTGTCTTTCTGGAGGGTGACTTGTAAACTGAGGTTGGAAGGACTCAGAGGGTAGGTGTGGAAGGAGTCGTGAGGGGGTTGGCCCCAAAGAGGTTTAAACAAGGAAATTCATATTTATACTTGTGTTAGACACTGAACAAGAAACTAAAAATGGGAGGACAAACAGGAGGATACCAAGGAAGGGGCTTTTCAGAAAGACAGAAATTTCATCTGAAACCTAAGGGATGAGACAGAGCATCCATTTAAAGACAGGAGAAGAGTATCACATAGAATGACATGTGCAAAGGTCCTGAGGTGAGAATGAACTGGGCCTGTTTGAGGAAACCATAGAAGCTGGGGAGTCTGGACTGTGGAGGCAGGGAGTGGAGCCCAGAATGAGGGCGGACAGATGGACACTGGGCAGGCACATGGGACAGTGACAGCTTAGTCACGCACCCTGAACTTTATTCAGCATGCATTAGAGGTACCAATGGATTACAAGTTGGGGTGGAGGATATGGCTGTATTTACATCTTCTTAATGCCTCTCCTTCCTTTTCCCAGCCACCACCCATCTCCGCACGCTGAAGTCACTGGACCTCTGAGGCCTCCCATCATCCAACCCACTGGTATCATTTCCCATGGGTGAGCCCTCCCTGGCCCCAGACACACCGTCTTCACTTGGCTTCCAAGGACACCCCTGGTAGGCTTTCCTCCTACCCACTGGCTTCCCTACCCATGTCCTTCACCACTTCCACAACACTGTGACCCTTGAAGGCTTCGTGGCTCAGAAGTGGCTGTCCTTCTTGCTCTCACTCAGCATTTGGCCTTTGATGCCCATAAAGCCCATTCCTTCACCACCTTCCCTCTCAGGCAAGCATTCCAATGTTTCACGGGTGTCTTTCTGTTCTTACGAAACAGGGGTTATATGCCAGGAAAAGCAGGTCACTGCATGGTCCTGTAGTGGCTGCTCAAGTCACAGATCCTGTCTCATGCAAGCCTGTGGCCTTTGGCTTTCTCCGCCTCTCTGCCACATTCCCAGGTCTCGGCCGCACTTCTGCCCTTCCCGGCACCCAGACCAGCCCGTCTCAAAGCCTCCTCACGCGGCTTACCCCTCAGCCTGGACCTGGCTGTTTCTTCGGAACGGGGTCCTCTCCCCACAGCCTGCTCGTAGGACACAGTGCAGGAAGTGCCCCCCCCGCCAAGGACTGTCTTTCCAGGGGCTTCTGCTCCCACAGTCTGCTAATACAAATGTCACCTGTTAATTCTCCTCACCGAGTGTGTGAAAGGGAGATGTGCCCCTTTAAACCTGTTTAAAGGTCTGGCTCATCTCTCTGCAGACCAAAACCCTCCTTCACTCCCTTCATTTGACTTCAGTGATTTAGCCAACGGACAATATGGCCTGAGTGCTCCCCTCATGACAGTCTTGCTGCAGATAATCTGCAGGGAGGGCACCAGGCCGCAGGGTGGTAGCACGTGGTGATGGAGCGCTTGGGAGACTGGGGAGCCCCTTGCCAGCCGGGTGCCTGGGTCACGTTCCTCACCCTCTGGGCCTCAGGTTCTCCCCATGAAACTCAGCGGGGTGTGGTGAGGAATAATTACAGGAATGTGGTGACAACGCAGTCGCTGGGGATGTGGAAGCCTTAATCTATGCCGGAGAAGCCCACACAGACAGGAACAGGGGGCCCTGGGTGGGGGAACACAGAGCAGGGGGTACCCCCCTTAGCTCGGGCCTGGGGGATGCTCCTCAGAGGTGGGGTGTCTGGAGGTTTGCAGACAAAAATTAAGCATAGAGTAGTTGTTCCTTCAGTTTGATTCACTGAAGTGCTGTTTATTCTGTTTGATTTATCCTGTCCTAGCAGGAGCTATTAATAAAGGTTCTAGATTCTTATAAACAATGTTGACCCCAAAAAAGATCTTGTTTCTCTAGGGGGTGGGGAAAGTATACAATTGTGATTTTGACTTCTAATATGGCCCAAGTGAGAGGAACTCGCCGCCCACAAACCTGCACCTCCCTCTCCTGGAAGGAGCTTGAGACTTGCTGGGTGACCAGTGCCCGCAGACACATCAGAGCCTCCAGAACGGACACAAGCTCTAGGCTTAGATGCAAATTCGGGCTTCTTTTTTCTTCCCGGAAGAGCTGCCTTTTCTCTGACGGAAAGAGAAGAGCCTCGGGTCTTTGTGCTTCAGGCCCAGAGCCCAGATGCAGGCAGTCTGCTCCCCAGATGAGACCTCGTGGGCTGCCTGTCCCAGCCAGAACCAGCAGCACACGCCCTGGAAAGAAGCCCAGTCTCCAGCTCTTGGGATTCGTGGAGGCACTCACCCAGCCTGTGGTCTGGGCAGCTAGGGAGAAGGCCGAGATGCTGCTGTCAGAGGCCCAGGCTGAGGACAGGCGGGGTAGGTCGTACTGGCCAGGGATGGAAAGGCAGGTGAATGTGCAGCTTCCAAGATCCTAGCACACCGAGGACCACTCAGGCCCCAGGGGTACCATGGCCCAGAAGCCACCTGGCAAAGGCAGGATTCCCTCATGACATCCCAGCCAACTTGTCTACCACTAGGAGTTCAGCCCTGCCATCTGGGTCACAGATGTTTGGGCCTCACAGCTGGCCTCTCTGAAAGGGGTATCTGAGGGGCTCACCCACTTATTCTAACAGCACTCAGACAACGAGGCCGAAGAGAGAGAAGAACTTGAAGGACACAGGGTTCCGGGGCCCTAAGGGGCTGGTCACCTGAGCTAGGACAAGCTGCTTCTCTGTCCTGACTTCGCGTATCACTGGGCTCACCAAGAGCCAGGGGTTAATTCCCTAATCGCAGCAACCTCGGGTCTTCAGGGCAGAGGTCACACAGCTTCATCTCAAATCTGCTTTTTCATTGTTCAGGCCTGCACCTGGCATGAGATGGCAACGGGGCTGGGGGACGTATGGGTTCCTGAGTCAGAGCTCCGGGACTCATGTTTAGGTCCTGACATGTGTGGCTGTGGGACCTTGGGAAAGTTACCTATGTAGTCTGTGCCTCAGTTTCCTCCTATAGAAGTGGGAATGAGGTGTTACCTCATCATGTTGCAGTAAAGAAGAAATGAGATTAGCTCAGTCCTTCACACATTTGTAGACGCTTAGGAGATGTCAGTCCCTGTTCCTATCTTGGCCAGATGCCTAGCCCGGGAGGCCTCTGTGAAGGCCCTGGCTTAGGACACAGGCCACAGATGTGAAGGGCAGACCCGGCACACCCAGGATCCCTGAGATCTGTGAGGGAGGAGCGGATGGCTCGCGGGGGAGGTGAGTGAGGGGATTTACTCTTGACGGGGGTGGTTTTTCCACTAAATGAACATGGCCTAGGTCTGAGGGAAAAGCAGGGGAACATTGTGACTACCCTCCTGAGGAGATGTGACACCCAGCACCAGCAAGCCTCCTGCCATTCACAGTGATGACAACACAAGGCTAACCCTAGGGGTGTGGCTTGGTCCAGGAGGGGGTGGGGGGTGGGAAGGCACTCCCTAGGAGGGCAGTCAGAGCCCTGGGTCTGGGACATGTGAGAGCTGGGATGCTGAAGAAGAGGAAGCAGGCCATCCAGACGCCTCCAGGGCCAGGCTCGGCCCCGCTCCCACCAGCTCTAAAACACAAGCTTCTTGGGAATTTCCCACGGGAACTCGCTTCTTCCGAAATGGCCATAGCACGCCGTCTTCTGGTAGATGGGCTTCTTCAAATCCAAATCCCTGCACAGTCAGCAGAGGAAAGGGTCATTTTAAATGGAAAAGGAGCGAGTTCCTCTGAATTTTGAGCCCAGTAGTGATTATCAGAGTGCGACGGTCTTTGCATGGAGTGTCCCCACTCAAAGCAATTTCCCATAAACTTCCCTGTCTGTGCCACACCACACCTTCTGAGGTGACTGTCACTGGCCCTCAGGAAACAGGCTCAGAAAGACACACCCAGGACCCAGAACTTGAATTCTGGCCTCACCGTGCCTCTCTCCTCTCCTCTCCACTCCACTGGCCTGGCGCAGACCAACAACATCACCAAGCTCCAGAAAGCAGGGATGGCATTAGAAACAAAGGGAGATGGGACTAGACCTGCTGGCTTACTTCTCAGCATTCGGCCTTACTATTACTTTTCTATGTCCCTCCCCCGCCACCTGCTCAAAGATGGCCCCACTGGAGTGTCTCTGGGCCAGCCTCCTTCAGCCTCAAAGCAGGCATCCTGCATTTGGGGTGTGTCGTGCTGGTCCAGGAGCCTGGAGGCCCTCCTGCTTTGGGGAAGCTTAAAGTCCTTCCTTCTGTCTCGCTTCCAGTGGAGCTGAGCCTCTGGGTGAGGGAGGAGGAGGGGCCTGTCCGGCAGCGGTGGGCGGCGCTTTTACCTGACGATGACACCGGGCCGAAGGTCAAAGTTCTTACTGACCACATCTAACAGCTCTCTCTCTGTCTTCTGAGAGGTTCCGTAGGTGAAGATGGAAATGGACAGTGGCTCAGCCACACCAATGGCATAGGAAACCTTCCAGAAGAGAGCAGGGTCAAGGGCAGAAGCGTCTGTGCAAACATCCTCAGGGAGGGGCAGCTGGAACCACCCACTTGCCCAATGTGCTCCCCAACCTTGTCTGCCTAGAAAAATCCCCACCATCTTCACAGTGATGTATGCCTGTCTCCTAGAAGATTTTTTTTCCCTCCCTCAGGTTTTCAGGGTACGCGCCCCAGTGCCCTTGGCAAAGTGTGTGGGCGTCCCACCGGGCCAGCACGTCCTCACCCGGGGCCGAGATGGGGTGGTCAGAGTGGGGCCCACCCACCTGCACGAGCACTCTCCGGCAGAGCCCCGCTTTCACCAGGGACTTGGCCACCCAGCGGGCTGCGTACGCCGCCGAGCGGTCCACCTTGGTGTAGTCCTTCCCAGAGAAGGCCCCGCCACCGTGCGCCCCCCAGCCGCCATAGGTGTCCACGATAATCTTACGGCCAGTGACGCCCGCGTCCCCCTGCAGAGGGAAAGGAGGACAGGGAGGGAGGAGATGAGAACCAGGGTGCCCAGGGGGCAGGGCGGGGGGCAGCTGTAGCACGATGACGGCCACTGCACTTACGGGGAAAGGGTGCCCTGAAGCTGCCTGCGGGCATTTTTTTCAAGACCTCCCCTACCCCCCAGAGCTGGAAACCTTGGTCTCTAACCCCAGTTCAGTCACTGACCAATTACAGAAGCCAGATAACCTGCCAGAGCCCCCATGAGAAAGTGCAAACGATGGGCCAGAGGTTCTCTGGAATCCCAGCCAGCTCCTACCTCAGTCTTTGTTTGTATGAGTCAGTCATGCTGAAGAAATCCAACTGCAGGCAGGAACTGGGCTAAGTACGCCCCGGGCTGTGGCCCCGGCTGGTGGCACCCAGCACATGCCACGGTGCCCATTTCCTTCCGTGTCTGCTCTGTGCAGCATCAGGCAACCACCATGTTTTGAAAGGGCAGGGGCTCCGTGTTCGGTGCTTTGGGGAAAGACTGCGTACTCTATCCCCCTGCTTAGAGACCCACCATTCCCACCAGCACATCTAGGCTTTGAGAAGTCCTACAAGAAAGGACAGTAAGCTTTGCCTTTCTTTTACCCTGTGCTTCTGTAAGACACTCGGTCATGGAACCCACTACGGGGGCTCCGCTTGGTGGCAACGCATCCCCAGTTGAGGCACCCCTGGCAGAGGTCAAGCAGCCCCTCCGGGGTGCTCTGCCAATCCCCACTTCCTCTCTCCTGGAGAGAGAGGAGAAAGGGGGCAGCAGGGGTCCCCATCGAAACACCTGCCCCCACACAAGTTGAAGGCAACCTGTGGCAAAGACCCCGTACTGCCACCTGGGGAGGCCAGTCATCTGCAACGGTGAGTCGGCGTCTCAGCAGGGCCAGGTAGCAGCATAGGCAAGTATGACCAGGGGAGGCCAGGCCGCACTAGGGGGAGAGTTCTGGGGACATGTCCCCAGTCCCGCATGCATTGATGCACACACAGCAGGCCCCATGGAGTGCGAGCCGACCTCATGTTCTGTCCAGGCCCAGACGTGGCTGAGCCACACAAAGCCACCTCTTCCTTTGTGCTCCGGCAGGTAAGCAACCCCAGTAACAAAGGCAAATCAAGCCTCTGCTCAGAGGCGAGGGCGCACCTGGGGACCGCCAATGACAAACCGCCCGCTGGGCTGCAGGTGGTAAATGGTGTCTTCGTCCAGGTACTTGGCGGGCACCACAGCCTTGATCACCTGCTCCTTCAGAGCCTTGCGCATGTCCTCCAGGGTTATGTCCTCGTTGTGCTGTACAGAGATGACGATGGTGTGGATGCGCACGGGGATGACCGCGCCATTGTCCTGGGTGTACTGAACTGTCACCTGTGGGTCACAAGGGCAGGAGATGCGCTGAGCTGAGGACACATCACTGCCAGGCACAGACACCCAGGAGCCAAGTGAGGGGGGCCCCCTGTCCTCCGAGGACCTGCAGGAAAGTTAATCTGACATATTCTTATGTTGGAGCAATTGCCACGTGCTATGTATGGGCTGACTGGGTATGAGGCATAAGCTCTTCCCACCTATGACCCCTATTAGTGCCCCCTTAGAGACTCAGGGTTACAGAGTTTCTTCTCATTTGTGGCCCAACTAGACTCCTCCCCTTCTGTCTCAGAGGGCTCTGGGTGCCAACAAATGTCCCCCTGGCCAAAGCCCTCTCTTGACACTCCACGGCCTGGAGCCAAGGTATCCTGGCTTCTGCCAAAGAACACAGGCGTCCAAGGGCTAGGCCAGCTGCCCCAGCCCCTCAGTGGAAGAGCTCTGGAAGTGCATGGGGCCGGGGGACTTGCCTGCTGGAGGGACAGGGTGAGAGGGGCTCAGGTCAGGCTGGCTGAAATTGAGGGGGCAGCAAACTCCGGATGGCCAGCCTCTGGGTATCTGAGCTAAAGAAAGGAAAAAGCAGAGAGCACGTGGAGGAAGGAGCCCGCCTGCAATACCCCTGCAAGTGAGCAGTTCAAATGCTCACTTCTACCCAACTGGGTCAGTGCTGTGCCCATTCTGGGCATTACTAGTCTGGGCACACCACACTTGCAGAGCGAGAGGGAAGGGGACAGTGAGGACAGCAGGTGAAGCTGGGAAAGCAGCTAGAAGAGGTGCCCAAAGCTGTGGGAAGCTGTTGCTCGCCCTGTTTTAAAGATAGGAGAGCTGAGCTTTCAGAACCTAAGTACCTTGGTCAAGACCAAGCTATCACACAGCTGATAGAGCTGGGCTCTGCCCTGGGGCTATGTGGCCCGGTAGCTGGGGCTCTGCCCAGCAGAAGGCTACCACTCAGGGCCCTGAGGGACACATGGGAGCCACAGGCCCCAGTGCCCCCCGAGGCAGTGTGGACCCACCGGGCTGGGGGGCCTGGGGTATGTGGGGGCTGCAGGAATGCATCTAGGCTAGCTGTCCCTGGCAGCAACGTCCTGCCCCAGGGCCTTGAGAGGACCTCGGGACAGCCAACAGAGCCTCCCCAGGGCTGTGCCTGCAGCAGGATCTCTGCCTGCCCAAGGGCCCTCCGATATCCACCAAACACCGGCCTGTTTCAAACTCCTACTCTGTGTCCTGCCTGGTTCGAAGAGCCAGAGGGTGGAGTCCAGAAGGAGGAAGAGAATGAGCCCTGCCCACGTGATGTCTGATTCTAGCTCGAGAGGCAGGTACGTCTGCGTACCGAGCACAACCTTTTTTTTTTTTTTTTTTAAAGATTTT